ATTCCTGAACTTGTGTGTGGCAAATGGAAGGAGAAGGCTTCTAGCCTTTTATCTAGGAAGTCTGTAAGTTTGCCTGAAAGGGGATTGCGTAGGAACCTGCCTGATGGGCCAAAGGTGATCCTGGATGTAAGTGAAACCCAGAAAGAGTCCGTTGTTGCTCAGAAAAGTGTTCCTCTAGAGCAAGTCCTAGGTGAAGAGGGTAAAGGCAGAATTTCTGAGAGGGGTGAATTGCTGCTTAGAGAAGCTCCTAGGGAAAGGAATCCTCACGGTAATCTGTGCACGCAATATGCTGCCACTGAAGGGTGTGACAGTGATTTAATCAAGGAAGTTTCAGTTCCTAACAGCCAGAAAGTTTCTGCTGTGAATGGATCCACTGACTCTCCTGTTGAAAGATCCAGTGTGGAGAGCTTTGAGACTGTCTGAGATGGCGTAAAAGCTGTTAAGGATTCAAACAGCCCCATGACCAAGTGGCCCTGTTTGGCCAGCTTGTTGGGGAGACAAGGCTGTGGAGAGAGGAATGTCTCCATGCTGATTGTGTGAGTGACCGGGCTGTGTCTCCGGTTCAGAGGGAAGCCTGCGTAGCTGAGTCTGCAGAGCAGAACAGCTGTGTGGTTACGAGCGTTGCAGGAAGTGCGGCTACTCCAAGGAGACCCTGCCCCACGTCCTGTGCAGCTGCAAGCCCCACTCCAGAGCCTGGCAGCTGCACCACACGCCATCCAGAACCGCCTGGTGAAAGCCGTCGCCCCGCGCCTGGGGGAGGTCGCCGGGAACTGCGCCAGTGAATTCTGTTAAACAAGCGAAATCAGGGTTCGATCTTTCAGGGCAAGGAGGAAAGAGAGGCCTTAATCTTGCAAAGGAAAGCCACAGAGCAACCCTAAAAGGCCAAAACCCCAATGGTGTTGGGCCAAGGGTGTGGCATGACAACAATGATTATAAACGGACACTTTCAAAAACTGTAAAATGTACAATGGTTCTGATCTTTTGGAAAATCCCTTAAACATGTTAAAAAAAATAAAAAAGACCCCCCTTTTTTTGGGGGGGGTTTGTAATGGTTGTGTTTCACGTTTAAGGCCTGTAAACAGAAAGGGAACTTACAAAAGAAAAGAGAGCACCCGGGCGAGGGGGGCGGTGTATAAGAAGGGAAACAGGAACACGACCATATTGCTTTCACGGCTAAACGCCAAGATTCCTGTACTATAAACAACAGTAATATCTACATTAAATTCATGTTAATTGGGTTCCAAACATTTGCCGGAGCTTGTATGGATCCAGTAACTCTTTTCTTTAGCTCTTGGCAAGATCACATGAGACATACGGGAATCCTGCTGCAACAGCAGATCCAATCTACTATTGGTCTAACCAAGTTTTACCTTGAGTTTATAAAGAGATTCAATCATGTTATTGACCGTGATTTGGAGAAACCATTTCTGTTCTACACTGGTACGGCTTCTAACCCAATACAAGCTGTAATAAATCAGAACCAAGGGTGGGGAGCTCTTGGGATGCACTCAGCGATGTTTTGTCATCCCTTCCTGCATCGATTTTGCGTTGGGGGTGTGACGTTAGGACTGTAATCTATCTCATTGAAAGGTGACAGGGCCAGAAAGAGTCAATGAACTCCCAGACTGACCTGATCCATGGCCGAACTTTAGAGGCTGGTTAGACAGATCTGTAAATGAATAGAGCTTTGAAATGCAACGAGGCCGGGCAGTTTAAGGGAACTGCGTTGTTTGGGCTTCTGAGTAACCAGGGAGGTCGTACAGAGGCTGTTTGGGGCTGGCTGGGTAAATCTCAGTATTGGAATATCCACCAGCTGTTGGGGTTTGTCTTCCTCGTTCTGTTTGCCGTTCACCCTGATTGAGTGACCTCAGCTGGCTCCCACGGGCACCATCCTCACACTGCAGCTGTGGGGAGAGAGTGAGGAGAGGTGGAGCCGGGGGGAGGGCTGGGAGTCAGGACTCCTGGGTTCTATCCTAAGTTCTGGTTCAGTGTGGTCTAGCAGAAAAAGACTCCCATGCCCCCCTGACTCTAACCCCCTAGTCCCCACTCCCATCGCAGAGCTGGGAGAGAACCCAGGAGTCCAGACCCTTTGTCATCCTTCAGTTCAGGTCTGTGCAGAGCCTGGCACGACAGGGGTCCCGATCTTTCCCAGAGGGGAGGGGGTCTGTGCAGCACTGAGCAGCATGAGGGAGGGTCCATTTGCGACTGGTACTTTCTGCAGTTTCTGTGGTGGGCTGAAACGTGCCGAGTTGCTCGGGGCTCTGTCTTCACTTTCACCCCTGCGCATCGTGGTGAGAAACAGGAAATTCAGCCTCTTGCATGGCTGCAGCTTCTGCAAAGGTGGCAGCTGGGGGGGGGGGCTGGGGGGGGGGGACCAGGGCTGAGTTACAATCAGCTACAGAAGTGTCGGAGTCAGGGCCGGGTGCGACGCACAAATAACTGACCACGGTTTCCGTCCCATGAGCTGGAGTCGATCTCTAGGCGCTCAGCTTGCAGAGCCAAAAATACTTCCAGCCCTCACAGGTGCAAAGAAATCTCTCTAACCAGGGGCGGAGAGGGGGGAGCTGCCCGAATGTGATCCAGGCAGTGATGGGAGTGGGCTGGCTCGGGGGGGGTCTCTCCTGCTAGAATTTTACTTTCCACCCAAATTTCCAATTTCTCACCTTTTTGTCCCAATTCAAGAGAAAAACAAGCGTTAAAATATAGATGGAAAATCTGTTTTCTGAACATCTGACCTGGGAGTGCTTGAAATTCCACCCAACATCCCTTCCTCATGTAGTCTGAGACGGGGTGAACAGCCTTATTTTCCAGCCTTCTTTCACCTCCTCTTCTCTGTTTCAATCTCTCCTCCCACACCGAGTCGGGACCTAGGGTGTTTTCCAAACAAACATTTGCACTGGGGAAAAGTCAGAAGCCTGAAGAAACTCGCCCCGTTCGTTCTGCTAGAACTTTCCTCGCAGCCAGGTGTGTCGTCCATTCACAAGACAGATATATTTCCGAGTGCAAATGTGTTTGTTTCAATAACGTTGATATTTATGTAAGAAGAAGCAAATATGTTCCATAAATGCAACTACCACTGGGGTGAAGCTTGACAGGTATTATTATATTGAGAACAATATTTTTATCAAGAAAAATCATGAATTTCCATAAATGCAGCTAGCACTGGGGTGGAGCATATTGTGTCAGCTCTTATATATAGAAGTAAACACACACACAAAAATGCAAATGCACACACACAGTTTTTGGGTTTTTGCATCTCCTCCCTCTGCTGCTGGACAGGACGGGGCAATGTCCTGCTGCTCCGTCGGCTCCCCATTCGGCTGTCGGACAGATGGACGGCTCAGCAAGCTTCTCTCTGCTTTTCTCTCCTTCTCCTCACCGTCCACTCGCTCTCCACCTACCTCTTGGCTGTCTGCTGACACACTGACTTTTAAACCACCCTGTCAGGCACAGGTTGCCGTTCCGTGGGTGCTCTGGGGCTGTAGCACCCATGGGGGAAAATTAGTGGGTGCTCTGCACACACCAGCAACCAAGCTCCCCCCCCACCCCACCTCACCTCACGTCACCGAACCTCCGCCTCATCCCCTGAGCGCGCCGCGTCCCTGCTTCTCTGCCCACCTCCCAGCACTTGCTGCCGCAAAACAGCTGTTTCGTGGCGGAACAAGCTCCGGGAGGGAGGGGGGAGGAGCGGGGACTCGGCGCGCTCTCGGGATGGGGGCGGGGATTTGGGGAAGGGGGTTGGAATGGGGGCAGGGAGGGGGCGGAGTTGGGGCGGGGCCTTTGGGAAAGGGGTTGGAATGGGGGCGGGGCAAGGGTGGAGTCGGGGCGGGGCCAGGGGCAGACGGGGGTCGAGTTGGGAGGCCGCGGTTGGCTCCTCTGCTGCCCAACTGCCCGCCTTCCAGACGGTCCGTTCTGTTTTTAGCCCGCAGCCGTTGTTTCCCTCAGCGTTCGGATCGGCTGACCTTTGCCCCCCTTCGCTTTTCCCGCCAATTCTACCTGTTAGCGCTGTGGGATCTGCCGCTCCGCGCGTGGGCCTGACTCTTGCTCGTTTACAATGAAAGCCAGGGATACACCATGGAGCCCGGGGGATTTCTCTGGCATCAGCATCCTCCACGCAGGTGTTCGACCTGCAAGTTATTGCACCTGGTTTCTCACGTTTAGACAAAAAGGGAAGCAGCTCAGGGGGTAGCATAAGGAAATCTCAAAATGCAAGGTCAAGAGTTCATCAGTTTCTGGTGCGTTACTCAAGTGAGTTTCGTCTCCATATTTTTCAAAGGGGACGTGTGTTTGTTTCATCACTAGAGAGGAACTGACTGATTTGCGAACACTTCAGCTGTGTCTGTAACAACCTGATGTTCCAGGAGAGGAGAAGTGGAGGGGAGGCCAGGAGGCCACAAGGAGGGCGGAAGTGACGTGGAAGCGGTGCCACGCCGCCTGCCACGATGGGGCGTTTGCCCACAGCCTTGGTGCAAAGCCCGACAGGGTCCGGGTGGGAAACAGGAGGCCTCGAGGGAAAGTTTCGGGGTGTGTTTGGTTCTGCAGCGGTTAAATGGCCCCAAGGAGAGCAGGTGGTGGGGGAGGGGGACAGAAGACCGTCCATGGAGTGGGCCCAAGACAGGGCGGGAGTGGACCGGATGTGGCGTCAGGACTATAGCCACAGACGACTTGCCCACAGTTGGGTGCCACGCTCTCGATGATCCGGGTGGGAAAGACGAGGGGGAGGGTTCCGGGGAGTGGTGGATCCCCCAGGATTTAAAGCGGGGGGGGGCGGGTGAAACTGGTATTAATGCTTCAAAGGGAGGGGGAGACAGTGGAAGTGGATCTCAGTGAGGGCGGAAAGAAACCGGAAGTGGCATCGACCCCTCTAACCTCAACAAAGGACTTGCCCATAGTTCCTCATGGGGTCCGGGTGGGAAACAGGAGCCGCGTTGGAAGGTTACCCAAACACATTTTTTCAAAAAACTCTGAAAACAGACAATTTTTCACACAAAGAAATTATTTTATTTTTAGACCAAAAAAAATCACTTTCTTTGAGCAAGTCCAGCCGGCTGGAGCAGTCATGCTGGTCACTCAGACCAGTTCCACCGCCCACACCATGCTGAGCTGGGCGAGCGTTTCTCTTCGTGCTCAGTTAGGAAGAGGGACCAGACGCTGCGTTAATTACCCCCAGCTGGTCACGCTCCACAGGGAGGCGTTGCAATCACGCCAGAGAGGACAGGGAAATAACACACAGGGACGTGATATAGTTATATCCAGGAGGCCCGGAGAAGGCATTTCCTGAGGGTAGATCCATGCCCTAGTAGATTATTCCCTGCCGTAGACAGGGCTAGTTGGGTTTTGTTGGGGTTCACATGGACTTTCACACCCATAATTTTCTTCTGCTCTCCCTCAAACCCTCTGAGGGTCTCCTCCTGTGGGGAATTCCCTCCTGGCGGCGTGGCTACGAGTGTGAGGGACTCAGGTGGTGCTGGGTGCAGAGGGACTCAGCGCCGCTGGGTGTGGTTGGAGGTGTGTTCCCTGCGTCCTGGAGTCTGGAATTTAATCTCTGAGTAGTGCACGCTCTCGCTCTCCTCGGCCCCCCCGGCTGCCGTGGCCCTGTGTTGGACAGACACACTGTGAGGACGCCGTCACCCCAGATCTGGTCTCTTAATTCTGGCCAATTTAGGCAGCTCCCAGGGAGCAAATCCCACAGTGTTACCCCAGATTGGAGGGGTTGGGAGTCAGGACTCCTGGGTTCTATCCCCAGCTCTGGGAGGGGACTGGGGTGTTAGAGCAGGGGGGATGGGAGCAAGGACTCCTGGGTTCTCTCCCCTCACTGTATTGTACCAGTCCTTATTGGCACCCGGAGACCAGACCCAAGCACTGTATGGAACAGGGCCCAGCCTGCATTGTCTCACCTTCGGCTGCCGCTGGCGGGGCTGCGAGGGGGGCGGCGCTGCGGAAGAAGGGAGAAGAAAGAAACGTTAAAACGGAGGAGTGTGAGAGAGAGTCTGGGGTGAAGAGGGAAGCTGCAGAGATCTAGGGATGGGAGGAGAAGGAAGGACGTGGGGGGTTAGATATATGGACAGACAGCCCAGCATGGACCCAGAGGACAGACGGCCGCTAGGGTGCGTTCACTAGCAGAGTCCCTGGCCCATGGAGGCCAGGAGTTTAGCAGGGGGAAGGCTCCGGTTTGGTACCTCGGCGTCTCTTCAGGAGGAGGGTGGCCACCAGGCCAAGGATGAGAAGGAGCCCCAAGGCGATGGCGACCTGGTACAGGAGCTCCCGGGTGCAGCACCCTACGGGGGCAGGTTCTTTACCTGGGCGATGGAGAGGAGCTTTAGGGGATTCTCAGCCCCTTGAGCCAGCCAGTCCCCTGCCCTGGGGCTGGAGAGGGGGAAGGCCCCGTGCCCCCATTCCCCACCTCACCTGTGTCACTCTGGTTTCTCCCCATCACCTGCAGCTCGGTGCCCGCTCCTGTCCCGCTCTCTCCCTGGCGGATGCTGATGTGACACTGATAGAGACCAGAGTCCCGCTTCTCCAACTCCGACAGGGTCAGCGTGACCTCCCCTTTCTGGAGCAGATCCAGGTCGGACATATTGAGCCGTCCGTTGTAGAAGGGATGGTGAGATTCCAGCACAACCCCGGGTGCTCTAGTCCACGTCGCTTTGACCACGCTGCCCTGTCTGTTCTCAAAGGAGCAGCTGAGGTTCATGGTCTCGCCGGGGGACGCTCGGAGGACAACAGGGCTCTGAAGCACTGTGAGACCTTCGTGAACCAGGGCAATAAACATTATAGCAGGAAAGGAAAATGACGACGAGTGGTATCAAGACACACCCCAGCTGCCCGAAACCTTAGCAGCACGGAGAGAAGAAGCTAAGGGGAAAGAATTGTGCGTTCCTGTCCACCTTGCTATTGCTCACATCACTCTCGATAACACACTGCACAGGGCTTTCACTTCCACCCCAACAGAGACCCAACATCAACACTGCTCTGGGCACGGCAGATGCTCACAGAGACGTTAGACGTCAAATCACTCAGGACAGCTAAGTCCAAAGCAGACTGCGAGGAATTACAAAGGGATCTCACTAAACTGGGTGACTGGGCAACAAAATGGCCGATGAAACTCAAGGGTGGTAAATGCAAAGTCATGCACATTGGAAAGCAGAATCCCAACTGTACATACACACTGATGGGATCTAAATTAGCTGTTACCACTCAAGAGAGATCTTGGAGTCGTTGTGGATAGTTCTCTGCAAACATCCACTCAATGTGCAGCATCAGTGAAAAAAGTCACCCGACTGTGAGCATCCATTAGGAAAGGGAGAGATAAAAAGACAGAAAATATCCTATTGCCTCTATATAAATCCATGGTACGCCCACACCTTGGACCCTGCGTGCAGTTTTGGTCGCCTCAAATCAAAAAAAGATACATTAGAATTGCAAAAGGTACAGAGAAGGGCAACCAAAACAATGAGGGGTATGGAACGGCTTCCCCCTTACAAGGACCAGGAAACCCCCTTACAAATTAAATTGGCAGTTTGTCATTTTAACCCTTTTAAATACACCACAAACACATGCCTCCATGTTATACAATTTGTGCTTCAAACTAGAGGGGGTCAGAATTTGTCCTGACGGAACGTTTTCCTCTTGGGAAATGCCGTCTCATCGACAGGGTGACAATTGGTTTAAAACTGGGGCAGAGAAAGCGTTTTTGATAGGGTCAAAAGGGAATGATTTGATTTTGCATTTCCAGACTGATTTGATTTGATATTATGAAGAAGAGTCAATACTGAAATGAAATATTTGTTTTATGGAAACAGAATACTTCTCATTGACCTGATGTGACATATCCATATCTATCTATGCATCCATGCACGCATCCTCCACCCCTAGATCTAGATAGATAGATAGATAGATAGATATTCTTTTTGGGGTGGGATGAATGGGTACATAGATAAAAAGATAGATGAGATGTAGAGGTAGGCCTGAATGGGTAGACAGAGATGGATCTAGGGATAGGGTATATGGACAGATAGGGCTGAATATAGTGGAGTGGGGTAGAAGGACAGATGGACAGACAGAGATGGATCTAGGGATGGGGTAGGTGGATGGATGGACAGACAGAGATGGATCTAGGGGTGGGGTAGGTGGATAGATGGACATTAAATTAGTACCTGCTCCCCAGGTGGGGATGAGGAGGACGGCGCAGAGGACGGTGCTCAGGGCTGGCAGCTGCTCCATGGTCCCTGCTCTCTGGGGAGCTCCGCAGCCCAGCTCAGCTCAGCCCCAGCATCCTCCGGAAATGTCACCTCGGGGGGGGCCGGTGGAAAGTTTTGTTGCCTTAGCTGCTGAGATGGCTGCAGCAAGAGGCTGGGGACGAGGACTGGATGCGGTGGGGGGGTGGGGTGTGCATTCCTCTGGCCCGTGCTGGGAGGGGAGTGGGGTCTAGTGGTTAGAGCAAGGGGAGCTGGGGGGGCTGTGAGCCAGGACTCCTGGGTTCAGTCCTCAGTTCATTCTCTCATCTTGGGTCATGCTCCTTACCCTCTCTGGGATATTTTGTCATGAGGAATAACGTTATTTTACAGAAAGGAATTTTTCCTTAATATCTTTTATTTTCACATACTGAGGTATATTTATTTTTTGCAACACGTATCTCTTGCCATCGGCGTATTCCTTCTAAAAAACCAAACATGCTCCGGACAGTCTTTATCTGCGTTATACAGAAATGTTTTGTACAGAAATGTTTTCCGATGAAGTGAGCTGTGGCTCAGGAAAGCTTATGCTCAAATAAATTTGTTAGTCTCTCAGGTGCCACAAGTCTTCCTGTTCTTTTTGTATGAGAAGGGAAACAGGAACACGACCATATTGCTTTCATGGCTAAATGCCAAGATTCCTGTACTATAAATAACAGTAATATCTACATTAAGTTGATGTTAATTGGGTTCCAAACGTTTGCCGGAGCTTGTTTGGATCCAGTATGTCTTTTCTTTAGCTCTTGGCAAGATCACGAGACATACGGGAATCCTGCTGCAACAGCAGATCCAATCCACTATTCTTCTCACCAAGTTTTACCTTGAGTTTATAAAGAGATTCAATCATGTTATTCAACGTGACTTGGATAAACCATATCTGTTCTACACTGGTACGGCTTCTAACCCAATACTAGCTGTAGAAAATCAGAACCAAGGGTGGGGAGCTCTTGGGATGCACTCAGCGATGTTTTGTCATCCCTTCCTGCATCAATTTTGCGTTGGGGGTGTGACGTTATGAGTGTAATATATTCATTGAAAAGTGACAGGGCCAGAAAGAATCAATGAACTCCCAGACTGACCTGATCCATGGCCGAACTTTAGAGGCTGCTTAGACAGATCTGTAAATGAATAGAGCTTTGAAATGCAACGAGGCCGGGCAGTTTAAGGGAACTCCATTGTTTGGACTTCTGAGTAACCAGGGAGGTCGTACAGAGGCTGTTTGGGGCTGGCTGGGTAAATCTAAATATTGGAATATCCACCAGCTGTTGGGGTTTGTCTTCCTCGTTCTGTTTGCCGTTCACCCTGATTGAGTGACCTCAGCTGGCTCCCATGGACCGCACCGTTACACTGCAGCTGTGGGGAGAGAGTGAGGAGAGGTGGAGCCGGGGGGAGGGCTGGGAGTCAGGACTCCTGGGTTCTATCCTAAGTTCTGGTTCAGTGTGGTCTAGCGGAAAAAGACTCCCATGCCCCCCTGACTCTAACCCCCTAGTCCCCACTCCCATCGCAGAGCTGGGAGAGAACCCAGGAGTCCAGACCCTTTGTCATCCTTCAGTTCAGGTCTGTGCAGAGCCTGGCACGACAGGGGTCCCGATCTTTCCCAGAGGGGAGGGGGTCTGTGCAGCACTGAGCAGCATGAGGGAGGGTCCATTTGCGACTGGTACTTTCTGCAGTTTCTGTGGTGGGCTGAAACGTGCCGAGTTGCTTTGAGCAGGGGGTTGGACTAGATGACAGGACGGGACAGTGTCCTGCTGCTCCCTCAGCTCTCCATTCGGCTGTCGGACAGATGGACCGCTCAGCAAGCTTCTCTCTGCTTTTCTCTCCTTCTCATCACTGTCCAGTCGCTCCCCACCTACCTCTTGGCTGTCTGCTGACACACTGACTTTTATACCGACCTGTCAGGACTGTCTTGCGCATGACAACTGCCCACATTCCAAACGGTCTGTTCTGTTTTTAGCCCGCAGCCGTTGTTTAGCTCAGCGTTCGGATCGGCTGACCTTTCCCCTACTTCGGTTTTCCCGCCAGTTCTACTTTTTAGTGCTATGGGATCTGCAGCTTCGAACGTGGGCCTGACTCTTGCTTATTTAAAATGAAAGTCAGGGATACACCATGGAGTCTGGGGAATTTCTCTGGTATCAGCATCATCCACTCAGGTGTTTGATCTCAGCTCCTCCATCCTGCTCCCTCTGGTCCATCTCCACAGCCCCCACCCACTCCCTCTGCTTCGCAGCACCCCAATCCCGCTGCCTGAACCCACCCCCGTCCCACTCAAGACATGCAGGAAGAGCCCCCAGAGTCCATGACCGCACCCCCTCCCCCCGCACCCCCCCGGGGACGTGCAGCTACCCCAGGGGATTGGCAGGCTCTGGCCCCCCAGGCTGCTGTGCTCCACCCGGCAGGCGTAGCTGTGCCCGTCGCCCGGCTCCACGGCCAGGGAGCTGCGCAGCTGGTAGGTCAGGTCCGCGTTGGGCAGGATCCCGCTGGAGCTCAGCCGCCCGCCCGGCCCCACCTCCTCCCCGTCCTGCAGCCAGGCCACGCGGACGGGCCGGGGGTAGAAACCGGTGACCCGGCAAACCAGCAGTAACGGCGCGGGGGTCCTGGCTTGGGGAGACGCTCGGGCAAACACCACGGCGACCAGCCGCTCTGAGACAGGGGGAGAGAGACGGGGCGGGGGAGAGGGACGATTCAGTCTGAGCCTCAGGGACTCACTCGCCAAGCCCAGCTCCATCCCCCTGGGTCAGGCGTTGGCCCCGCTGTCCTGGCCAGACCCTGCAGTTACCAGTGGTGAGGGAATCCCCCTTCACTTCCTGTCCTAAACGGCTGTGCAGTGCGGCCATGAAATCGCTCCACCGCAGATATGACTGCATTTGTACACCGGGCAAGAGATCCCTCTATAAATAGCCCTCTACCAATCCCAGAGGGGGCTACATATCTGCGAGTGGGGAGTAGCTTGCCTCTCCCGTGACCCTTTCCCGTAGCAGACAAAGCTCTTAGTCTTATTGACACAAGTTGTTTTCAGGAGCCCTGGGTAACAAAGGGGTCTGGAAGAGGAAGGGCAGGGGGATGGTCCAGAGGTCACCGGGGCGGAAATAGAGAGATGTTAGGTGCAATGAGGACGTTCGGTCACCAGATGGCAGTGGGATTGTGGGGCAGGACAGGTTGCAGTTACTGTTTAAAGCTGATTTGTGCTCTAAGATCCACGTGCAACATCAGATTGGCTCGAAAATCACTGTGAGACATCGGGGCCTGAGGCAGATTTTGTGGTGCTAATTTGGGGTCACTTCGTCAGGGGGATCCTGAGATACAGACCCCGTCCCAGATAAATGCTTAATTATTTAGAACGTTATTTGTGATGCTCGAGAGAAAACTGTGGCCCTGAGCCTCAATACACTCACATCCCCGGGCTCCCCTCAGCTCAGAGCCACCCCGGTGGCAAGGACACGTTTGGCTTCCCGAGGTTACACAAGTCACTGGGCCTTGGTTGTGTGTGTGGAGCGGTACGCCGGGCGGTGGTGCACCTCTGCCCACAGACGGTTCACACCTCTGCCAGGGGTTCTTTCCTCGGCAGCGACTCAGGGCATGACACACCGAGTCACACGCTCGCTCAGTGGGAGAGGCTGTAACCTCTGAGCCCCGGGAGGACCCGTCCGAGCCCCGTCACCGAGAGGGTCCTGCGGCTGTGAGCTGTGATCACCGGGCCGGCTGTCACGCTGTCGTGAAACGCACATGCCCCGGCAGATTGCCGTGAAACTAGCAAGGTGCAGGGGAAGAGTTTGTGGTGCAGATTTGGGGGCAGGTGGTGAAGGGGTTCCTGAGAGAAAGACTCGCCCGAGGACCTGCTTTTAGTGCTCCAGCATCAGACACCCAGCGCCGGCCCTGGGCTGAGCCGCTGAGAAGAGGCGTGCTGGGCTCTGTCCCACCCCCTGGGGCAGCGCTGGCTGCGAGGGTGATTGTTGCGTTTTGTCCATTTTGTATGTTGTGTATAATTTCAGGATGCCATGTTGATTTTCAAAATGGAATTTGTGCCCATGTGATCCAGCTGATCACAGGGTTCCCGCCTTTTATTTCTCCTCAGAAGGGGTAAACAACTTCTGGATAGAACCGGTTTTTACCGCCTTTTCCACAGGGTTTCCCAGGAGGGGTTTTCTGCTCCTTCTACGGGGTTTCCCGGGCCAGAGTATATAAGTCTGCCCCGAGCCCTGCTCAGCGGCTGTCCCTCTGAGTGACAGTGAGGGTCTGACTTGTACTCACCTCCCCATCCCCGTGGTAGAGGGGGCTCGGGTTTTCCCTCCGCAGCTCTGCGCCTACGTTGCCATCCCCTGCAAGGAGAAGAGAAGGCCAGACAGCCACATCCCACTTACCACCAGCCACCTTCAGCTGCTGTCCTGTTTATAGGGTTTATTTGGGGGAAATCACTGTATTGCAACATTTGCCTGTTTACTCCCTCCTTTGCTTTGCCGCATTCATTGTACACCAATCGCTCACTACACTTCATTTGTTTTCCACCTTATCGCAACTGACTCCTCGTTATTCGAGATGGGAGGGACTCTTTGTGGGAAGATCCAACCCACCAGATGACAGGTGCTGGATAGGGAGGGTCTCATCTAAGGAAACAGGAAGCACGGGAATCTCTTGCCTTATCCCACATATATTCCTTTGCCTTTCGGTCCTTTCCTCTCACAGTGGGGGAGGCATTATCTTATCTCTGCATTTCCTGCGTATCCCATTCTTTGTTGGGTGACCCCTTCCTAGAGGGGTCAGTTTTCAACGTTCAGATAGGGCACCATGAGCAGCCTTCCCCCTCCTTCGACAAAGGCCTTTGATAGGGGACATGAAAGACCTTGAGCCTCGGGTCAGGGGCTGGCACATGGGGCCTTTCCCCTCTAGGGCGCACAGGCTACAATCTGGCCCCAGAGCTGGGGGACTGGCTCAGTGGAGTGGAAGGGGGCAGAATGAGGGTGCCCACGCGAGGGCATTGAGACTTTCCCAGGTCTTAGGGTTGCACCTCGGGATGGGGAGAGGTACATTTGCAAAAGAAAGCCCAGAAAATCTAAACTGAATCGGCCCTGTTTGCTGCCAATAACACCTCGCTGGAGGGTGACACCCATTTGCTTCGTGCTGCACGTACACAGAGAGGGGAGTGAGGTCTAGTGGTCAGAGCAGAGGAGGGTGGTAGCTCAGACTCCTGTGTGCTTTCCCTAGTTCTAGCAGGTTATTGCCCCCCAGAGCAAGCCCACCCCCATCACTGCCGGGATCACAGTCAGTGAAGCGCCCCCCTCCCAGAGCGACCAGCTCAGGGTCTCTGCAGACTCAGGCATGGGTCCCCCCGGCCCCGGTTTGGAGAAATTTCTTTGCACTCGTGAGGGCTAGAGGTGCTTTTTGGCTCTGCAAGCTGAGCGCCTGGAGATCGACTCCGGCTCGCGGGACGGAAACCGTGGTCAGTCGTTTGTGCGTCGCACACGGCCCCGACTCCGACACGTCTGTCGCTGACTGTAAATCACCCCCCGCGTCCCACCTGCAGCTGCCTTTGCACAAGCTGCGGCCGTGAACGCTGCTGAATTTCCTGTTTCTCACCAGGAGCTCAAGGGCAGACAGAGCCCCGAGCCACTCGGCGCGCTCCGGCCTGCCACAGAAACGGCAGCCGTAGCCAATGGAGGGGCCCCCGGGCGCTACACAGATCCCCCTGAAAGAGATCGGGGCCCCTGTCGTGCCAGGTTCAGCACAGACACCCCCCCACACACCCCAAAGCAAGCTCAGCGCCCTTGGTATGCCAGGCTCTGCACAGCCCCCAGCTGAACCATGACAAAGGGGTCCGGACTCCTGGGTTCTCTGTCCCACATCTAGGGGAAGAGCGGGGTTGAGCAGGTTTGAGTGGGGGGGCTGGGGCTGGGAGCCCGGACTCCTGGGTTCTCTCCCCAGCTCGGGGAAGGGAGTGGGGTCTAGTGGTTAGAGCCGGGGGGCTGGGAGCCAGGACTCCAAGTGACAGTTGGCCCCGCCCCCTCCCACCCTCTTGTGACAGTTGGCCCCGCCCCCTCCCACCCTCTCAGGTGACAGTTGGCCCTTCCCTCCTCGTGTTCTCAGCAGCCATTGGCGCCTCACGGAGCTTCCCCGCCCGTTTCCCGCCCTTTTTCATCCCCGCCAGTTCTCCCTCATGCTGCCCCGGCTGACTCTGCCCGGCAACTAGTGACATTTAAACAGGATGTCGCCTTCTAATAGGCTGTCCCGCCAAGCCAGTGAGGGAAAGGGAGGGGCCTGGGAGAAGAATAAGGAGGCGGGGCCAAGGAGTGGGAGGGGCTAATGAGCAGGAACAGGGGGCAGGGAGCAGGAGTGTGGCTAATAGGAAAGCGGGCAGGGAGAGGAAGGGGCTATTGGGAGAGGGAAGGGGAGGGGCCATCGGGATGGAGGGGGAGGGGCTATTGGGAGAGGCAGGTTGGGGGAGGGGCCATTGGGATGAGGGGACAGTTGGGGGGCTCTGCCCTCGATTCTGCTCTGACCCTTCTCCCCTGCCCCCACCCCATCTCCCCCCGTCACTCAGGTGCAGCCCCTGCGGGGGGAGCCAGGCCCAGCCCCATGGGACAGGAGCCCCACTGCGGGGTGAGTGGGGGTGGGGTTGCTTTCCACCACCACCACCACCCCAAGTCTCCCCCCGCCCCCTCCCTCCGCGGCAGGCCAGGTTCGGGGTGCGGTGCCCGGTCAGAGGGTGCAGCTGTGGGGAGGCAGAGCCCCTGGGTGGGGTGAGAAGGAGGACGCTGGCCTGTAATTTTGGGGCCACCCCCCACCAATTCGAGGTCTAGGTGCGTGGCTGGTTTGTCTGCGGGTGAATCAAGCCCTAAGTGGGGGGTGCTGTCCCCTGGCAGGCAGGACTGGCCCCATTGCCCCAGGGCAGAGGAGATGGAGGGGGCGTCTCACACACACTGACCCTGGCTCAGGGCCTGGTTCTGCTCTTCCTGCCGGGGATCCCCTTCCCGCGCTGCCGCCGCTCCCCGACTCCCTCTGCCCTGATTGGCTCGGGGCTGGCAGCTGCGGGCACGGCGCTGAGCAGAGACAGACAGAGAGAGAAGTTGGCAGAGAGATTTGCGACCTGGGAGGAACCGAGAGCACAAGTGTGCAACCCTGGGCCCCTCGTCCCGCGGCCCGGACACCTGCCTGAGCCCGTATTCCCTTGCTGGGATGCTGCTCCCTCTGCTGCTCCTCCCCTGGGCATGGGGGGCTCTGGCCGGTAAGCGGGGACCCCCCCCCACCCTTTTTGCTACTGAGGGGGTGCAGAGGGTGTAATGCCAGGGTGGGGCAGCACCATGCTGGGCTAGTGACCCTTGCCAGGGGTGTAGGAGGAGGGGGGAGGCGGGTTAGGGGTCAGCAGGGAGCATTAAGGAGACGGAGATTCATTAATCCCTCTCCCCACCTGCTTTATCCTCCACTTGTTTCCTTTCCCCTCCCCACAGCCTCCCCTCCTGTCCCCCCAGGGTCTCTCACCCTCCGGCTGTTCCAAACCATCATCTTCCACAACGCCAGCTCCACGGACATCCTGGGGACAGCCCTGGTTGGCGACCTGGAGACCCACTCCCTAGACTGCAGCCCCTGCAAGATCCGCTTCCTGCAGCCCTGGGCCCGGCTGGGCCTCACCCCGAAGGTGTGGCAGGACCTGGAGACGTTGATCTATACCTATCTGTCCAACTTCATCCGTATGATGAACGATCTGGCTCAGGAAGAAGGAGAGGGCTGTGAGTATGGTGCAGTCTGAGGGGGTCCCTTCCCGCACCCACCAGGGAGCTGAGAACTGACACGCTCACAGCAGCAACTGTGTCCTGACAGGGTGGATCGAGGGCAAGACAGCCAGGCCCTGGCCTTTAGGCTGGATGGAGCCAGCGTCCCCTAGAGGGGAAAGGCCCCGTGTCCCATTCTCCACCCCATTGAGCCAGTCCCCTGCTCTGGGGCCGGACTGTAGCCTGTGCGCCCTAGAGGGGAAAGGCCCCATGTCCCAGCCCCTGACCCTAGGCTCATGGTCTTTCGCGACCATGTGCCCTACCAAAGGCCTTTGTCGAAGGAGAGGGAAGTGGAGAGGAAGGGGAAGGCTGCTTAACGTGCCACCTGTCCTGCCTCAACCTTGAAAACTGACACATGGGCAGGAAATGCAGAGCTGAGCTCATGCCTCCCCCCCTCACAGCCAGCGCTGCCCCGGGGCATGGGACAGAGCCCAGCACGCCTCTTCTCAGCGGCTCAGCCCAGGGCCTGCGCCGGGTGTCTGATGCTGGAGCACTAAAAGCAGGTCCTCGGGCAAGACTTCCTCTCAGGAACCTCTTAACCACCTGCCCCCAGATTTGCACCCCAAAGTCTCCCCTGCACCTTGGTGGGGCAGAGCTAGTTTCACGGCAATCTGCCGGGGCATGTGCGTTTCACGACAGCGTGACAGCCGGCCCGGTGATCACAGCTCACAGCCGCAGGACCCTCTCGGTGACGGGGCTCGGACGGGTCCTCCCGGGGCTCAGAGGTTACAGCCTCTCCCACTGAGCAAGCGTGTGACTCGGTGTGTCATGCCCTGAGTCGCTGCCGAGGAAAGAACCCCTGGCAGAGGTGTGAACCGTCTGTGGGCAGAGGTGCACCACCGCCCGGCGTACCGCTCCACACGCACAACCAAGGCCCAGTGACTTGTGTAACCTCGGGAAGCCAAACGTGTCCTTGCCACCGGGGCGGCTCTGAGCTGAGGGGAGCCCGGGGATGTGAGTGTATTGAGGCTCAGGGCCACAGTTTTCTCTCGAGCATCACAAATAACGTTCTAAATAATTAAGCATTTATCTGGGACGGGGTCTGTATCTCAGGATCCCCCCGATGAAGTCACTCCAAATTAGCACCACAAACTCTGCCTCAGGCCCCGATGTCTCATAGCGATTTTCGAGCCAATCCGACAATGCATGTGGACCTTAGAACACTTTGAAAAAAACAGCTTGAAACAGAAACTGCAACGTACCCTGAACTGGAACCAGGGCCCCCCACAATCCGGCCCCCATCTTGTGGCCCAACATCCTCATTGCACTTGACATTGTGTCTTTATTTCCCCCCCGCATCTCTCTATTTCTGCCCCTACCCCCGTCCCGGTGACCTCTGGACGGCCTGTCCTTGTCCCCCCTGCCCTTCCTGTTCCAGACCCCTTTGTTACCCAGTTCACCGAGGGCTGCGAGCTCCACCCCAACGGCACCTCGAGGCAATTCTGTGATGCTGGGATGAACGGCGAGGACTTCGTCAGCTTTGACATGGACACCGGCAAATGGGTCACTCGGCGGGGGGATAAGCTGACGCTCAAAGCCCTGGAGATTCTTAACTGCAACAGAGCGGTGGCCATCACGCTTCCGTTTCTCCTGAGAACGACGTGTGTCAATGAGCTCAAGAGCTTTGTCCAGCATGGGAAAGAGTCTCTGGAGAGGCAAGGTGAGGCTGGACACCACTCCCTGCTCGCTGAGATGCAGCCACCTCTGGGGTGGGGCATGCGAGCTATTTACATGGGGATCCCTCGCCCAGCTGTGAGATGCAGCCCCCTCTGGGGTGGGGCAGGGGACTGTTTATCCAGAGACCCCTTGCCTGGTGTACAAATGCAGCTATAGCTGGGGTGGAGCGCAGTAGCCGTTCATAGCCGCACTGAACAGCCGTTTAGGACAGGAAGTGAAGGGGGATTCCCTCACCACTGGTAACTGCAGGGGACAGAATTGGGACCTGGCCAAGACAGCGGGGCCAACGCCTGACCCCGGGGGATGGAGCTGGGTTTGGCTAGTGAGTCCCTGAGGCTCAGACTGAATCATCCCTCTTCCCCCGCCCCGTCTCTCTCCCCCTGTCTCAGAGCGGCCGGTCGCCGTGGTGTTTGCCCGAGCGCCTCCCCCAGCCGGGACCCCCGCGCCGTTACTGCTGGTTTGCCGGGTCACCGGTTTCTACCCCCGGCCCGTCCGCGTGGCCTGGCTGCAGGACGGGGAGGAGGTGGGGCCGGGCGGGCGGCTGAGCTCCAGCGGGATCCTGCCCAACGCAGACCTGACCTACCAGCTGCGCAGCTCCCTGGCCGTGGGGCCGGGCGACGGGCACAGCTACGCCTGCCGGGTGGAGCACAGCAGCCTGGGGGGCCAGAGCCTGCTGATCCCCTGGGGTAGGTGCACGTCCCTGGAGGGGAGGGGGCGGTCATGGTCCCTGGGGGCTTTTCCTGCACGTCCTGAGTGGGACGGGGGTGGGTCCAGGCAGCGGGATTCGGGTGGAGGGAGGTCGAGGGTGTCAGCGGATGTGTGGTGATGGACCAGCGGAAGCAGGGTGGAGGAACTGAGTGGGACAGGACTGGGACTGGGGGAGCAGGGGGGGCTGAGGGGGATGGGACAGGACTGGGATGGGGGGAGCAGGGTGGGGGCTGAGGGGGATAGGACAGGACTGGGATGGGGAGAGCAGGGTGTGGGTGAGGGGAGCATGAATGGGACAGGGTAGAGAGAGCTCTGTGCAGTGGGGCAGGGGGAGACAATGGGGCAGGGCTGGGGAGGGTCAGGGGGGTTAGGAAGAGGGGCAAGGGTCTGGAGGGGATGAGACATAGGGGAGCAGGACTGGAATGGGGGAAGATGAGGGGGTGGGACAGCAGGGGGAGCGATGGGGGTGGGATGACGGGGGAGGTTGAAGAAAGAGATTTAGGGTAGGGCAAGGCTGAGGGCAGTGGGTCTGGGTGGGGTGAGCCAGGGGGAGACTGCGCGGGAGGCTGAGGAAAGAGGGTCGGGGTGGGGGGGGCGGAGGGCAGTGCGTCGGGATGGGGCGAGCAACAGGGACTGCAGGGGATGTTGAGGGAACAGGGTCAGGGTGGGGGGGCTGCGGGCAGTTGGTCGGGGGGATCAAGGGGGACTGTGGGGGTGTGACGAAGTGGGACTGTTCTTAATGTTTCCTCTGAATAGTGTGGGGGTGCCTCAGTTTCCCCTAGGCAGTTCTTAAGTATCTAGGGGGTGGGTTAAGGGTGTATGATCATTGCAGAGCCCTAGAGGGCAGGTGTGTGCAGGAGTCTGGACACAGAGAATGGCCGACACCCTGTTTCCTGGCAACTGATGGCCTGGGCCCTTCCCCCCTGCAAGGTGAGAGCTGAAGGGTTGGAGAACAAAGGAATCAGGTGACCACCTGGCCCGGGAAAGGAACAAAGCCCAGAGGAGGAGGGGCTGGAGGGGGTTTCAGTTTGGGGCTGGCTGGGACATGGAGTGAAGTGCAGACGTGGTTGTCTGGCTCACTGCCCCCAAAATGGACCCAGCTGAGGGGTCCCGTTCTCTGCACCTGCAAGCTCTGTTTTAGACCATGTTCCTGTCGTCTAATAAACCTTCTGTTTTACTGGCTGGCTGAGAGTCACGTCTGACTGCAAAGTTGGGGTGCAGGACCCTCTGGCTTCCCTAGGAGCCCCGCCTGAGCGGACTCGCTGTGGGAAGCGCACGGAGGGGCAGAGGATGCTGAATGCTCCGAGGTCAGACCCAGGAAGGTGGAAGCTGAGTGAGCTGTGTGTCCTGAAGACAGGCTGCTCACAGAAAGGCGACTACCCCAGAGTCCTGACTGGCTTCATGGGGAGCAGTTCCAGAGCATCGCCCAGGGACTCCGTGACAACTGGTGGCAGCGGTGGGATGTACTGCACCCCGTGGATGGTGCTTCCTGCAGTAAGTGACTGGGGAGCAGTAACACGAAGGGGGATTGCCGAGGACCAGGCCTGCTGAAGGCTCAGAGAGGAGCGGTTTCGGGGGCGGTTAACCCCTGGGAGTGTGTGACCAGCGAGAAGGACTGTGCAGTAACAGGGTTCCCCTGGGGATTGCACGAGCAGTCCAAGGGGCGGAGGAGTCTGTAGCTCGACCCTGGCAAAGAGGTGGTGACCTCGAGAAGGGCTGACACACTAGGGGTTCTCCCTGGAAACCGTGGGGAGCTGAGAACACACGGGCCTGTGAGTCCACAACAACTTGGGAGGAGCGGAGTGACGGCCTGTCACCGTCTCCTTAAGAAGGACATTGTAACCCTGTGCAAAAGAGAGGGTTGAGCCTTGGAAAGTTCACCAAAGCAGAGTTAATCGTGCAGCTGGAGGAGGATGACCGCTCTAAGGAACAGATTCCTGACCCCAACTGGGGCTATAGCAGGATCTGGGAGCAGCTGAAGCGGGAGCCAGGCATCCCCAAGACTCCTGTCCCCGACCAGACGGGGGTCTTCACGATCGGGTTCCCCATTGGGGGATCAAGACGGACGGGATTGGAGCTGAGTCTGAGAGAGCAAGAGGACTGTGAGAGACAGCGAGAGCCCGAGAAAGAGCTGCAGAAGAGCAGCAGCATGAACGGCGGTGGGGGAGCGGAGAGGTCTAGGGGACCTCCCGGGGTGAGTGGGGATAGACCCGGGGGGCCAGTTCCGCAGGGAACCTCGAGACTAAATTGCTGCCCCTGGTTAAGGGGGGTGTGTGGATGCCACCTCACTGCCTTTGACAGGCTGGCGATTTGAACCAAGGGGACCCTGCGAAAAGCCCGTGTCTAGCTCCCTTGCTGGGTCCCAAGGCCATAGACTCTGTCAGCCAGATGGTTGGGGATGTGGACAGGCTCCCACTCCTGACCCCAACCTATATGTCTGTGTGGAGTTTCCTGGGGCCAGGCCCCCGGACCTCCAGTGGGAGCAGAAGGTGATGGTCAATGGGGAGACATTCTTGGGGTGGCCAAAGGGCATGGGCTGCATAAACCTTCCCACATGGGCCTGCGAGTGCTATCGACCACCCCTGACCTAAGGGAGGGCGTGAAACTGGAAGGGCCTGGTGTAACTCCTACCAAGGAATGGGAGAGATGCTGGGGCATCCATGGGAACGTTGTGGCCGAACTTCCCCAGGTCACCGGCTAAAGTGACCCCGCTCAGTTCGATCTCGAAGGGGGAGAGTGTGACGAAGTGGGACTGTTCTTATGTTTCCTCTGAATAGTGTGGGGGTGCCTCAGTTTCCCTAGGCAGTTCTTAAGTATCTAGGGGGTGGAGTAAGGGTGTATGATCATTGCAGAGCCCTAGAGGGCATGTGTGCAGGAGTCTGGACACAGAGAATGCGACACCCTGTTTCCTGGCAACTAATGGCCTGGGCCCTTCCCCCTGCAAGGTGAGAGCTGAAGGGTTGGAGAACAAAGGAATCAGGTGACCACCTGGCCCGGGAAAGGAAAAGCCCAGAGGAGGAGGGGCTGGAGGGGGTTTTCAGTTTGGGGCTAGCTGGCTGGGACATGGAGTGAAGTGCAGACGGGGTTGTCTGGCTCACTGCCCCCAAAATGGACCCAGCTGAGGGGTCCCGTTCTCTGCACCTGCAAGCTCTGTTTTAGACCATGTTCCTGTCGTCTAATAAACCTTCTGTTTTACTGGCTGGCTGAGAGTCACGTCTGACGCGGAGTTGGGGTGCAGGACCCTCTGGCTTCCCAGGACCCCGCCTGGGTGGACTCGCTGGGGGGAGGAGGAGGGGCAGAGGATGCTGAATGCTCCGAGGTCAGACCCAGGAAGGTGGAAGCTGTGTGAGCTGTGTCCTGCAGACAGGCTGCTCACAGAAAGCGACTACCCCAGAGTCTGACTGGCTTCATGGGGAGCAGTTCCAGAGCATCGCCCAGGGACTCCGTGACAGGGGGAGACTGAGAGAACAGGGTGGGGGGCACTGGATTGCGGTTGCGGGGGAGCAGGGGGGACCGTGGGAGAGGCTGATGGAAGGGGGGGGGGGGCTGCAGGCAGTGGGTCGGGGTGGGGGAGATCAAGGAGGACTGCGGGGGAGGCTGATGGAACAGGGTGGGGGGGCCAAGGGCAGTGGGTTGGAGGTGGGGGGATCAGGGGGGACTGCGGGGGAGGCTGATGGAACAGGGTGGGGGCTGAGGGCAGTGGGGTGGGGTTGGGGGATCAGGGGGGGACTGCGGGGGAGGCTGATGGAACAGGGTGGGGCCGAGGGCAGTGGGTTGGGGTTGGGGGATCAGGGGGGACTGCGGGGGAGGCTGATGGAACAGGGTGGGGGCTGAGGGCAGTGGGTTGGGGTTGGGGGATCAGGGGGGACTGCGGGGGAGGCTGATGGAACAGGGTGGGGGCTGAGGGCAGTGGGTTGGGGTTGGGGGATCAGGGGGGACTGCGGGGGGAGGCTGATGGAACAGGGTGGGGGGCTGAGGGCAGTGGGTTGGGGTTGGGGGATCAGGGGGGACTGCGGGGGAGGCTGATGGAACAGGGTGGGGGGCTGAGGGCAGTGGGTTGGGGTTGAGGGATCAGGGGGGACTGCGGGGGAGGCTGATGGAACAGGGTGGGGGGGCTGAGGGCAGTGGGTTGGGGTTGGGGGATCAGGGAGCACTGCGGGGGAGGCTGATGGAACAGGGTGGGGGGCTGAGGGCAGTGGGTTGGGGTTGGGGGATCAGGGGGACTGCGGGGGAGGCTGATGGAACAGGGTGGGGGGCTGAGGGCAGTGGGTTGGGGTTGGGGGATCAGGGGGGACTGCGGGGGAGGCTGATGGAACAGGGTGGGGGGCTGAGGGCAGTGGGTTGGGGTTGGGGGATCAGGGGGGACTGCGGGGGAGGCTGATGGAACAGGGTGGGGGCTGAGGGCAGTGGGTTGGGGTGGGGGGTACAGGGAGCACTGCGGGGGAGGCTGATGGAACAGGGTGGGGGGCTGAGGGCAGTGGGTTGGGGTTGGGGGATCAGGGGGGACTGCGGGGGAGGCTGATGGAACAGGGTGGGGGGCTGAGGGCAGTGGGTTGGGGTTGGGGGATCAAGGGGGACTGCGGGGGAGGCTGATGGAACAGGGTGGGGGGCTGAGGGCAGTGGGTTGGGGTGGCTGGGGGGGACTGCGGGGGAGGCAGGGGGAACAGGACCCATACTCCTGTCCCGGTTCCCAGCACGGCCCCCCCCGTTTTACAGGGCACAGCAGGGGCTGGGGCCCCGGCCTGGCCGTGGGCATCGCCCTGGGGGTTGTGGCCGTAGCCGCCGTGGCCGTGGCGCTGTGGAGGAGCAGACGCAAGTGAGTCCTCTCCCTCTCGGGGGTAGGGGGTGGGGGTGGGGGTGTTACACCCCATAACCCTCCCCCTGCTCTCTCCTTCCAGGGGCTACCAGGATGTTAGACCAGGGGGGAGTCCAGGGCCTGAGGGTGGCACCGGCCCAGGCGTGGGCATTGGTCTCCTGGGGATATGGACCTTCAGGCTAGATCCATGCTTGGCTCTAGAGCTGAGGGCCCCAAGGGCAGGACTGGATCAGAGCCCAGGGCGATCAGGGCCCTGGGTGGGGGGGTGGGATTCTTCTCCCTCTAGATCATTTGGGGCACGTTGGACACTTAGGGGTGCCATGGGATCGCTGGGATCCAGGATCCGCAGGGAGCCGGCGCTGGCCTGTGCCATTCAATAAACCTTTCAGGGAGGGGCTCCCCAGCGGGCCCCACTGGGGCCTGTAGGAGCCAGGGCCTGGGAGCAGGGGTCAGACACAGCTACATACAGAAAGGCGGTGGGCGCGGATGGGTTCATGGGAACCAGGAGTGGGTCCTGGCACAGCGTTCAGGCTGAGCTAGGGTGCCCAGGTAGCAAGTGGGTTGCCCGTGGGACATTGGCCCAGCTACCCACATGGAGCCCTGACAAGACTACAGCCCGCGGGGCGCCGGGGAGGCCGCTCCAAGGTCGCTGGCTGGGCTGGGCTGAGAGCTCCTGGGGGCAGGGCCCCTCCAAAGCTGGGTGTGAGGGACCCCGTGACGGGGTTTTACCTCTCGGGGATTGAAATGAAGTGGTTCAAGAATGGGCAGGAGTAGATGGCTGGGATGGTGTCCGCGGAGCTGCTCCACAATGGAGACTGGACCTTCCAGATCCTGCTGATGCTGGAGATGACCCCCCCGGTGCAGGGACGTCTACACCTGCCAGGTGGAGCCCATGAGCCTGTGGGGCCCCCTCACTGTGCACTGGGGTAAGAGCCTCTCAGTGTGGGGCCTCCCCTGAGCCCGCAGGGGCACCCCTAGCTCTATGGAGCCTCTCAGGCGATGGGCCTGTGTCAGGTCATCATCCCCACCACGGGGGCAGAGAGCGGGGACGTGACAAAGGGAAGGAGAAGCTGGGCTGAGCCCAAACCATCTCTGCTCTTGTTTTCACAGAAGCACAGACTGACTCTGCCAGGGGCAAGAGGCTGGCTGGGGTTGTGGGCTCCGTGCTCGGGTTGGTCTTCGTGGTCCTGGGATTGCTCGTGTACCTGAGGAATAAGAAAGGTGACTGGCTCAGGCATGGGGCCGGCAGCCCCAGGAAATGAGTCCCCAGTGGGGCCATAACCCAGTGGCACTGGAGGATTTCACTAGAATTTTGATTCACCACAATTTAGCTTCCCCTTCAGGCTCGAATCCAGTTTTCTGCTGACCGAGGAACTTCCTGCCCATCCTCAGCCCACATCCAGGAAGTGCGGAGCTAATTCCAGCCTCTGGCTTCCCGTGCATCTGAGTCAGACCTTTCAGATTCTGAGCAACAGTTGTGGCCTCCTGGTCTTCCCTCCACTTCTCCTCTCCTGGAACATCAGGTTGTTACAGACACAGTTGCAGTGTTCGCAAATCAGTCAGTTCCTCTCTACTTACGAAGCAAATACACTCTCCTTTGAAAAATAGGGAGACCAAACTCACTTGAGAAACACACAAGAAACTGACGAACTCTTGGCCCTGAATTTTGAGATTTACTTATGCTACCCTCTAAGCTGCTTTCCTTTTTGCCTAAACGTGGGAAACAACATGCGATAACTTTCAGGTCGAACACCTGAGTGGATGTTGCTGATACCAGAGGAATTCCCCAGACTCCATGGTGTATCCCTGACTTCCATCTTAATTAAGCAAGAGTCAGGCCCTCATTCAAAGCTGCAGATCCCATAGCACTAAAAAGAAGAACTGGCGGGAAAACCGAAGTAGGGGAAAGGTCAGCCGATCCAAACACTGAGGTAAACAACGGCTGCGGGCTAAAAACAGAACGGACCGTTTGGAATGTGGGCAGTTGTCATGCGCAAGACAGTCCTGACAGGTCGGTATAAAAGTCGCTGTGTCAGCAGACAGCCAAGGGGTAGGTGGAGAGCGAGTGGACGGTGATGAGAAGGAGAGAAAAGCAGAGAGAAGCTTGCCGAGCGGTCCATCTGTCCGACAGCCGAATGGAGAGCTGAGGGAGCAGCAGGACACTGTCCCGTCCTGTCCAGCAGCAGAGGGAGGAGACGCAGAAACCCAAGGAGAACACAGCAGCGGAGAGAGAGCGCACAGGAGAAACGATCAGCCAGGGAGTCAATTGGCCGTAGCTCCATCTAAGTCAATGGGGCCAGATCCCTGCTGGGATCCGTCGGCCGTAGCGCTTCTGACTTCAGTGGAACCGATTTCCAGACGCTCAGTACCTGGCCCCGCTGAGGTCAGTGGAGGCGCGGCCGTTTGACACCAGCTGGGATCCGGCCCAGAGGTTTTCCCTTCGCTTATTTAAAAACAGTTCTATCAAGTCAAACGTTTCTGGAACACAAGAGCTTTTAAATGAAGCATTTTTAATGAAAACTCTCTCCTGGAAAATGTTCTTTCCATGCAGAAATTGCTTTCTACAGAAAAATATCTTTGTGAACTGTTCTCCTTGACAAACACGATATCACTTTAAAAAGGAAAATACTTTGGGGGAAAATGTTTCTCTTTAGCCAAGATATTTTTCGAAAAAAAATAATTATGGAAAATGATGTGTTTTCTCATGGACAAAAAGTGTGTGTGTGTTTACATCTATATATAAGAGCTGACACAATATGCTCCACCCCAGTGCTCGCTGCATTTATGGGAAATAATGATTTTTCTTGATAAAAATAATGTTCTCTATATAATAATACCTGTCAAGCTTCACCCCAGTGGTAGTTGCATTTATGGAACATATTTGCTTCTCCTCACGTAAATATCAGTGTCATTGAAACAAACACGTTTGCACTCGGAAATATATCTGTCTTGTGAATGGACGACACACCTGGCTGCGAGGAAAGTTCTAGCAGAACGAACGGGGCGAGTTTCTTCAGGCTTTTGACTTTTACCCAGCGCAAATGTTTGTTTTGAAAACACCCTAGGTCCCGACTCGGTGTAGGAGGAGAGATTGAAACAGAGAAGAGGAGGTGATAGAAGGCTCGAAAATAAGGCTGTTCACCCCGTCTCAGACTACATGAGGAAGGGATGTTGGGTGGAATTTCAAGCACTCCCTGGTCAGATGTTCAGAAAACAGATTTTCTATCTATATTTTAACACTTGTTTTTCTCCTGAATTGGGACAAAAAGGTGAGAAATTGGAAATTTGGGTGGAAAGTAAAATTCTAGCAGGATAGACCCCCCCCGAGCCAGCCCACTCCCATCACTGCCTGGATCACATTCGGGGCAGCTCCCCCCTCTCAGAGCGATCAGCTCACGCTCTCTGCAGACTCAGGCATGGGTCCCACTCACCCCTGGTTAGAGAGATTTCTTTGCTCCTGTGAGGGCTGGAAGCATTTTTGGCACTGCAAGCTGAGCGCCTAGAGATCGACTCCAGCTGACGGGACGGAAACCGTGGTCAGTTATTTGTGTGTCGCACATGCCCCCGACTCTGACATTTCTGTAGCTAATTGTAACTCACCCCTGGTCCCCCCTCCCCCCAGGCCCACCTGCTGCCACCTTTGCAAAAGCTGCAGTCGTGCAAGATGCTGAATTTCCTGTTTCTTACCACGATGCGCAGGGGTGAAAGTGAAGACAGAGTCCCGAGCAACTCGGCACGTTTCAGCCCACCACAGAAACTGCAGAAAGTACCATAGTAGCAAAGGGACCCCACCCCATGGTGCTCAGTGCTGCACAGATCTTCTCGCTCCTGAGAAACATCGGGGTCCCTGTCACACCAGGCTCTGCACAGACCTGAACTGAGGGATGACAAAGGGTCTGGACTCCTGAGTTCTCTCCCAGCTCTGGGAGGGGAGTGGGGACTAGTGGGTTAGAGTCAGGAGAGCCTGGGAATCCTTTTCTGCTCAACCACACTTAACCAGAACCTACGATAGAACCCAGGAGTCCTGACAGATAGATCCCATAGCTTTCCCCATCCGTAGAAATTCACAAGCACCCCTTGTCAAATTTAACACCCAAAGCAGGTCATGAAACAACCAGGGTCAGTGGACAAAACAACACCCCACGAAAACAAGGAACTGCAGCCCCTCAACACAACCACCCCATCTGCCCTTCCACTCTCAGACCCCTTCCCATGAGCCCACCTACCACCCGACACCTTCACTCTGGGTCGCTAGGCGCCATCCCTTCTCCACCCACCCCTGTCCACAACCACGCTGTCATCTGCGTCCTTGGGTTGCCAATCTTCCACCATTGTCCTGGAGACTCCAACAATTCAGGGTTAATCATTAATTAAGATTTACATCATGGGATGGAAACTCCAGGAATACTCCAACCAAAACTGGCCACCCGAGCTGGGGCTGATTGGAGCGGCGGTGGGTGGGAGTGATGGCACATTGGCATGTCTCAGTCAGCGGAGATAAGTTCATCCAAGAAAATAGGACTTCCTGGAGGTAAAGGGAAACGAGGGGCAACCCCGAAATGCAGCTGTTGACGGAGAAGATTTTACCCACCTCCAGCCACACGTACAATTTGGCAGGGTCATTTTGGACAGATAATGGCTCCACATTACCCCAAATCCCCATCAGAACTACCCGCAACCTGACAGCTCCTCTGAATATCACGAGCCAGCGGTGTGGTGTAGCTGTCGGCCAACCATTCAAGGTCGTGCCACTAAGGACAATGTCTGGTTAGAAATGTCTTGTGACAGAGCCGATGAACAAGACGTGGAAAATTGACAGGGCCAGATCGCCAACCCAGGGTGGGAATTCAAGCCCATTGGTCCCCCTGGTTTGAGAGCAGAGCAGGGATTTGTGGTCCAGTGTAGGATGCAGCCCTGGTAGGGGAGCTGTTCCTGGGGACCACCACCAAGCCAGGATGCTCCCGGAGATGCCAGCTGCTGCTGTGCTGTCCCCTGCACCAGGGCAGCCGGGCGGGGCATCAGACCAGATGCCCCAGCTCTAAACACCCCAACTGCCCCAGTCCAAGTAAGGGGAATCCTCCTCAGTCATACGCAGTAGAGGGGCTAGGAGACACAGATGAATGCGGCTGATTCTAGGGGGCAGTGGGATGTGTGCATGCACACACGTACGCACACGCACACACACCAGCCAGTCCCTCACACAGTGAATAGCACATGCTCAAACACACACACACATCCGGCCCTTGTCCCTGGCTTCTCACTGCAGCCATCTCAGAGGCACTGACCACAAAACTTTCCACCACCCCTGGGGCTGATGCTTCCGGAGGATGCTGAGGCTGAGCTGAGCAGGCCCCACGGAGCCGCCCAGAGAGCGGGGACCATGGAGCCACCACCAGCCCTGAGCCCTGTCCTCTGCGTTGTCCTCCTCATCCCCACCTGGGGAGCAGGTACTAATTTAAAGTGTTCATCCAGCCACCTACCCCATCCCTAGATCTCTCTCTGTCTGTCCTTCTGTCCATCTGCCCCATGCCTAGATCCATCTCTGTCTGTCCTTCTGTCCATCTATCCCATCCCTAGATCCCTCTCTGTCTGTCCTTCTGTCCATCTGCCGCATACTGAGATCCCTCTCTGTCTGTCCTTCTGTCCATCTGCCCCATGCCTAAATCCATCTCTGTCTGCCTTTCTTTCCACCTACCCAACCCCTAGATTCATCTCTGTCTGTCCACCTTGTAGCCCAGAAGGCTAATCTGCTGGCTTGCTTTATTATGTTCTGCCTTTATTTATTGGTTTGCTTTGGTATATTTGCCTTGTACGTTTGCATTGGATTACTTTATTGTGTTTCAGGGTGGTAGCCGTGTTAGTCTGTATCAGCAAAAACAATGAGGAGTCCTTGTGGCACTTTAGAGACTAACAAATTTATTTGGGCATAAGCTTTCGTGGGCTAAAACCCACTTCATCAGATGCATGGAGTGGAAAATACAGTAGGGAGGTATAAATACACAGCATATGGAAAGATGGGAGTTGCCTTACCAGGTGCGGGGTCAGTGCTAACGAGCCAATTCAATTTAAGTTGGAAGTAGGCAATTCTCAACAGTTGACAAGAAGGAGTGGAAATCACTTTTGTAGGGTTAATGAGGCCAATGTAAACAAGGTGGGCCATTTGAAACAGTGGACAAGAAGGTGGGAGTGTTTAGTTTAGAGACTAACAAATTTATTTGGGCATAAGCATTCATCACTATAGAAAACAAAATCAATTTGTTAGTCTGTAAGGTGCCACAAGTACTCCTCGTTGTTTTTACATAAACTAATTTCCCCTTGCTAAATACATTTGCATTGGATTACTTTATTATGTTTGGCTGTAACAGGACCTACAGGCCTGTATCCTGTATGTTTAGCTTCAGCAAGTGAGCATCAGTATGGTTAAGTGGGCTCGTGACCTTAGGCTCATTTTTATGGCCAAACCGATACCCTTTTAGATTTTGGGGAACTAAACATGTTTATCTAAGAAACTCGGGACTTCATGGTGACCACATGGGACACCGCAGGAATGTGGAAGTAATGACCAGAAACCAGTTTGGGCAAGAAATAACACATCTGAGCATGAGCCAATTGGCATTAATATGTGTGAATACACTAACCTACAGAATAAGTGCACCCCAATATTATGTGGGTGAGGAAGTTAGATTTGGGCACAGAAGCTTGGGTAATAGCTTGAATATTTAAGATATTGCAGATGTCCTATAGGAGGGCAACCCACCGTGTGCAGGCAGCTTCGTCTTCTTCAGCTTTTGAGTTTCTCCACTGTCTGCTGTCATCTTCACTCCTCGGCATCTGACCCTTCAGCTCTATTGTCACCGTCAGTCTCAAGCACCGTTGGACCCATTTGGCAGGCCAGGGATAAGGCTGGTCCATTGCCTCCTACCACCAGGTGCCCATGTGAGGGTGCTAGTCTAGGAAGCTTTGGTAAAGACTAAGGTGACAGGTACCCCCAGAGCTGTGTTATTCCCTTGTGGAGCTTTGGTAGCTTTTTCACTTATTTTAATAAGTCTCTAAGGCTGCATTTTCTCCTCAGCCTGCATGTCCTTGTCATCCACCTCGAAGGTCCTTACAAGATATTGAACTCACGGCATTTAATTCTGGGTGGTCTGATTCTGGGACAAGAACTTCCTCATCTTCTGGTCAGATCAAATGGCAAGTCAACAATAATATACCATCCTCTAAAATCAAGCAACAATCAACCCCATTCCTAGATCCATCTCTATCTGTCCATCCATCTATCCTCCACCCCTAGATTCATCTCTATCTGTCCATCCACCCATTCATCCCTCCCCCTAGATCCTTCTTATTTATCTTTCTATGTACCCATCCACCCCACCCCTAAATTAATATCTGTCCATCCATACCCCATCCCTAGGGCATCTGTATCTAGCTAGCTAGCTATCGTCCAGCCAAGATCCTGTCTATCTATAGCTAGAGAGCTAGGGGTGTATAGATAGCTATGGATCTAGGGTGCATGTATGGATAGGACAGGCGCATGTGTGGATGGATAGATATGGATATGTCATTTCAGGTCAACCCAGATGTATTCTGTTTCCATAAAACTGAAGCATTTCATTTCAGTTTTGACTCTTGTTTAATAATATAACACCAAATAAGTTTGGAAACTGAAAAATCAAACCATTCCCTTTCGACCCTATCAAAACGCTTTTTCATGCCAGCCACCCCGTTGCTAAACAAGTTGTCATCATTTCAATGAAACGGCATTTCCAAGGGACAAACGTTCCATTGGGAAACATTTCCACCCGCTGTAGCTTGGAGCACAAACTGAATAAAGTCGAAGCATGTGTTTGTGGTGTACTTAAAACTGTTAAACTGACAAGCTGCCACTTTAATTTGTAAGCGGGTCTCCTGGGCCTGCTTGCAGCCTAGAGGTCTCCATGTGATCAGAGTCAGTCTGCAGAGACCCAGCCTAAACTAATGTGGGGTAAGTCATTCCTCTCTGCCTTAGGGAGCAGCCTCTTTTCTCTCTCTCTGGTTTGCGGGTTTTGTGTGTTAGGATTCTGAATTCTAGGAAATAAAGTAGTGTGACTTGCAATCATCCTGGAAGAACATAAGAATGGCTGGACTGGTCCATCTAGCCCAGTCCATCTAGCCCAGTATCCCGTCTCTGACAGTGGCCAGTGCCAGATGCTTCAGAGAGAATGTACAGAACAGGGCAATCATCAAGTGATCCATCCCTGTCGTCCAGTCCCTTCTTCTGGCAGTCAGAGATTTAGAGACACCCAGAGCATGGGGTTGCATCCCTGACTGTCTTGGCCATTGATGGGCATATCCTCCAGGAAATTATCTAATTCCTTTTTGAGCTCAGTTATAGTTTTGGCCTTCACAACATCCCCTGGCAGTGAGTTCCCCAGGTTGACTGTGTGTTGTGTGAAGAAGTACTTCTTTTTGCTTGTTTTAAACCTGCTGCCTGTTAATTTCATCAGGTGACCCCTGGTTCTTGTGTTATGAGAAGTGGTAATTTACACTCCCTAGTCACTTTCTCCCCACCAGTCGTGATTTTATATCTATCATATCCCCCCCCTTACTCGTTTCTTTTCTAAGCTGAACAGTCCCTGTGTTTTCAATCTCTCCTCACATGGAACAGTTCCATCCCCCTCATCATTTTTGTTGCCTTTTTCTGCACCTTTTCCAATTCTAATGTATCTTTTCTTGAGATGGGGTGACCAGAACTGCATGCACTATTCAAGGTGTGGGCATGCCCTGGATTTATTTAGTGCCATTATGGTATTTTCCATCTTGTTATCTGTTCCTTTCCTAATGGTTCCTACTGTCCTGTTTGCTTTCTTGACTGCCGCTGCTCAGTGAGCGGATGTTTTCAAAGAACTATCCATGATCTTTTTGAGATGCAACAGCTAAATTAGACCCCAGCATTTTATATGTGTAGTTGGGATTATGTTTCCCAGTGGGCATGACTTTGCATTTATTACCTTTGAGTTTCATCTGCCATTTCGTCACCCAGTCTAGTGAGATCCCTTTGCAACTCTGTGCAGTCTGCTTTGGACTTAACTGTCCTGAGTGGTTTGACGTCTAACGTCTCTGTGAGCATCTGCCGTGCACAGAGCAGTGTTGATGTTGGGTCTCTGTTGGGGTGGAAGTGAAAGCCCTGTGCAGTGTGTTATCGAGAGTGTTGTGAGCAATAGCAAGGTGGACAGGAACGCAAAATTCTTTCCCCTTAGCTTCTTATCTCTGTGCTGCTAAGGTTTCGGGCAGCTGGGGCGTGTCTTGATACCACTCGTCGTCATTTTCCTTTGCTGCTGTAATGTTTATTGCCCTAGTTCACGAAGGTCTCACAGTCCTTCAGAGCCCCGCTGTCCTCCGAGCATCCCCCGGCGAGACCGTGAACCTCAGCTGCTCCTTCGAGAACAGACTTGGCAGGATGGCCAAAGCAACGTGGACTAGAGCACCCAGAGTCGTGCTGGAATCTGACCATCCCTTCTACAAGGGGAGGCTCAATGTGTCCCACCTGGATCTGCTCCGGAAAGGGGAGGCCACGCTGACCCTGTCGAAGTTGGAGAAGCGGGACTCTGGTCTCTATCAGTGCCACATCAGCATCCACCAGGGAGAGAGCGGGACAGGAGCGGGCACCGAGCTGCGGGTGATGGGGAGAAACCAGAGTGACACAGGTGAGGTGGGGAATGGGGCACGGGGCCTTCCCCCTCTCCGGCCCCAGGGCAGGGGACTGGCTGGTTCACGGGGCTGAGAATCCCCTAACGCTCCTCTCCATCACCCAGGTAAAAAACCTGCCCCCTTAGGGTGCTGCACCCGGGAGCTCCTGTACCAGGTTGCCATTGCCCTGGGGCTTCTTCTCATCGGCCTGGTGGCCACCCTCCTCCTGAAGAGACGCCGAGGTACCAAACCAGAGCCTTCCCCCCACTAACCTCCTGGCCCCTATGGGCCAGGGCCTCTTCTAGTGAACACATCCTAGCTGCCGTCTGTCCACTGGGTCCATGCTGGGCTGTCTGTCAATGTTTCCTCTAATTTTTGACAGGCCATGTGTGCAAAAAATTTCTTCTGTGCAAATTTTTGTGTGCGTGGTGTTTTTCCGTGTACGTGGGATTTACGATCTCTGTGCATGCGCACACGCGCACAGCTTAGAGGGAACAGTGCTGTCTGTCCATCTATCCATCTCCCACCGACACATCCTTCCTTCTCCCTCATAGAATCATAGAATATCAGGGTTGGAAGGGACCTCTGGAGGTCATCTAGTCCAACCCTCTGCTCAAAGCAGGACCGATCCCCAATTAAATCATCCCAGCCAGGGCTTTGTCAAGCCTGACCTTAAAAACCCTAAGGAAGGGGATTCCACCACCTCCCTAGGTAACGCATTCCAGTGTTTCACCACCCTCCTAGTGAAAAAGTTTTTCCTAATATCCAACCTAAATCTCCCCCACTGCAACTTGAAACCATTACTCGTTGTCCTGTCATCTGCTATCACTGAGAATAGTCTAGATCCATCCTCTTTGGATCCACCTTTCAGGTAGTTGAAAGCAGCTATCAAATCCCCCCTCATTCTTCTCTTCTGCAGGCTAAACAATCCCAGTTCCCTCAGCCTCTCCTCATGACTCATGTGTTCCAGACCCCTAATCATTTTTGTTGCCCTTCGCTGGACTCTCTCCAATTTTTCCACATCCTTCTTGTAGTGTGGGGCCCAAAACTGGACACAGTACTCCAGATGAGGCCTCACCAATGTCAAATAGAGGGGAACGATCACGTCCCTTGATCTGCTCGCTATGCCCCTACTTATACATCCCAAAATGCCATTGGCCTTCTTGGCAACAAGGGCACACTGTTGACTCAGATCCAGCTTCTCGTCCACTGTCACCCCTAGGTCCTTCTCTGCAGAACTGCTGCCTAGCCATTCGGTCCCTAGTCTGTAACGGTGCATGGGATTCTTCCATCCTAAGTGCAGGACTCTGCACTTGTCCTTGTTGAACGTCATCAGATTTCTTTTGGCCCAATCCTCTAATTTGTCCCTCTGGACCCTATCCCTACCCTCCAGCGTATCTACCACTCCTCCCAGTTTAGTGTCATCTGCAAACTTGCTGAAGGTGCAATCCAGACCATCCTCCAGATCATTAATGAAGATATTGAACAAAACCGGCCCCAGGACCGACCCTTGGGGCCCTCCACTTGATACCGGCTGCCAACTAGACATGGAGCCATTGATCACTACCCATGGAGCCCGACAATCTAGCCAACTTTCTACCCACCTTGTAGTGCATCCATCCAGCCCATACTTCTTTAACTTGCTGACAAGAATACTGTGGGAGACCGTGTCAAAAGCTTTGCTAAAGTCAAGGAACAACACGTCCACTGCTTTCCCTTCATACACAGAGCCAGTTATCTCGTCATAGAAGGCAATTAGATTAGTCAGGCATGACTTGCCCTTGGTGAATCCATGCTTGCTGACTGTTCCTGATCACTTTCCTCTCCTCTAAGTGCTTCAGAATTGATTCCTTGAGGACCTGCTCCATGATTTTTCCAGGGACTGAGGTGAGGCTGACTGGCCTGTAGTTCCCAGGATCCTCCTTCTTCCCTTTTTTAAAGATGGGCACAACATTAGCCTTTTTCCAGTCCTCTGGGACTTACCCTGATCGCCATGAGTTTTCAAAGATAATGGCCAATGGCTCTGCAATCACATCCTCCAATTCCTTTAGCACTCTTGGATGCAGCGCATCTGGCCCCATGGACTTGTGCTCGTCCAGCTTTTCTAAATAGTCCCGAACCACTTCTTTCTCCACAGAGGGCTGGCCACCTACTCCCCATGCTGTGCTGCCCTGTGCAGTAGTCTGCGAGCTGACCTTGTTCGTGAAGACAGAGGCAAAAAAAGCATTGAGTACATTAGCTTTTTCCACATCCTCTGTCACTAGGTTGCCTCCCTCATTCAGTAAGGGGCCCACACTTTCCTTGGCTTTCTTCTTGTTGCTAACATACCTGAAAAAACCCTTCTTGTTACTCTTAACATCTCTCGCTAGCTGCAACTCCAGGTGTGATTTGGCCTTCCTGATTTCACTCCTGCATGCCTGAGCAATATTTTTATACTCATCCCTGGTCATTTGTCCAATCTTCCACTTCTTGTAAGCCTCTTTCTTGTGTTTAAGATCAGCAAGGATTTCACTGTTAAGCCAAGCTGGTCGCCTGCCATATTTACTATTCTTTCTACACATCGGGATGGTTTGTCCCTGTAACCACAATAAGAATTCTTTAAAATACAGCCAGCTCTCCTGGACTCCTTTCCCCCTCATGTTATTCTCCCAGGGGATCCTGCCCATCAGTTCCCGGAGAGAGTCAAAGTCTGCTTTTCTGAAGTCCAGGGTCCGTATTCTGCTGCTCTCCTTTCTTCCTTGTGTCAGGATCCTGAACTCGACCATCTCATGGTCACTGCCTCCCAGGTTCCCATCCACTTTTGCTTCCCCTACTAATTCTTCCCGGTTTGTGAGCAGCAGGTCAAGAAGAGCTCTGCCCCTAGTTGGTTCCTCCAGCACTTGCACCAGGAAATTGTCCCCTACACTTTCCAAAAACTTCCTGGATTGTCTGTGCACCGCTGTATTGCTCTCCCAGCTGATATCAGGAAAATTAAAGTCACCCATGAGAATCAGGGCCTGCGATCTAGTAACTTCTGCGAGTTGCCGGAAAAAGCCTCGTCCACCTCATCCCCCTGGTCCGGTGGTCTATAGCAGACTCCCACCACGACATCACCCTTGTTGCTCACACTTCTAAACTTAATCCAGAGACACTCAGGTTTTTCTGCAGTTTCATACTTGAGCTCTGAGCAGTCATACTGCTCCCTTACATACAGTGCAACTCCCCCACCTTTTCTGCCATGCCTGTCCTTCCTGAACAGCTTATATCCATCCATGACAGTGCTCCAGTCATGTGAGTTATCCCACCAATCCTCTGTTATTCCAATCACATCATAATTCCTTGACTTTGCCAGGACCTCCAGTTCTCCCTGCTTGTTTCCCAGGCTTTGTGAATTTGTGCACTTCCCTCCTTCTTCCCCAGTCCCTAGATTTCTGCTGCTTCCCTCTTCACCCCAGACTCTCTCTCACACACCTCCGTTTTAACGTTCCTTTCTTCTCCCTTCTTCCACAGCACCGCCCCCCTCGCAGCCCCACCAGCAGCAGCCAAAGGTGAGACAATGCAGGCTGGGCCCTGTTCCATACAGTGCTTGGGTCTGGTCTCTGGGTGCCAATAAGGACTGGTACAATACAGTGAGGGGAGAGAACCCAGGAGTCCTGACTCCCAACCCCTCCAATCTGGGGTAACACTTTGGGATTTGCTCCCTGGGAGCTGCCTAAATTGGCCAGAATTAAGAGACCAGATCTGGGGTGACGGCGTCCTCACAGTGTGTCTGTCCAACACAGGGCCACGGCAGCCGGGGGGCCGAGGAAAGCGAGAGCATGCAGTACGCAGAGATTAAAATCCAGACTCCAGGACGCAGGGAACACACCTCCAACCACACCCAGCGGCGCTGAGTCCCTCCGCACCCAGCACCACCTGAGTCCCTCACACTCGCAGCCACGCCGCCAGCAGGGAATTCCCCACAGGAGGAGACCCTCACAGGGTTTGAGGGAGAGCAGAAGAAAATTATGGGCGTGAAAGTCCATGTGAACCCCAACAAAACCCAACTAGCCCTGTCTACGGCAGGGAATAATCTACTAGGGCATGGTCTGACCCTCAGGAAATGCCTTCTCTGGGGCCTCCTGGATATAACTATATCACGTCCCTGTGTGTTATTTCCCTGTCCTCTCTGGCGTGATTGCAACGCCTCCCTGTGGAGCGTGACCAGCTGGGGGTAATTAACGCAGCGTCTGGTCCCTCTTCCTAACTGAGCACGAAGAGAAACGCTCGCCCAGCTCAGCATCATGTGGGCGGTGGAACTGGTCTGAGCGACCAACCTGACCATATTTCTTCATGTGAAAAATTGTCTGTTGTCAGACTTTGTTGAAAAAAATGTGTTTGGCTAAAAACTTTTGCTTTTCTCCCTCACTTCCCTCTTCTCTTCAGTCCCCTTGTCGTAGTCCAAAATCTTACAATCATTTCTGAAAGTTTGCTTTTCAAAAAATCAACTTTTTTCCCTATGAAAAAAAAAGATATTTTCCTGAAAATTTGATATTTTGTTCTGGAACATAATTTCCCCTGAATGAAAATGTGTCATTTTATCCCTGAAAATGGGGACACTTCCCCCCCCCCCCCCAAAAAAACCCAATATTTTTTTCATGAAAATCTTTTCTCCCCTATACATTGGAATTTTGTTCCCCCTGCAAATATTATTTGTTTAAAATGATGAGTGGGGGAAGAAGGGAAAAGAGAGAAATAAGGAGGAACTAAATAAAAATCACTGAGGAAAATCAATCAACAATGTAGAGAAGTAATTGAAACACCGGGAGAAATTAATGTCTGATTTTTTCCCTTTGGGTATTTATCATTTTTGTGGGATTTTTGTCCCTCTCGCACTTTTCTCCCCTCCGCACCTATCACCTCCCCATCGTCCCTGACCTGGGGAAGGAGACTCACTCCCCTTCTGATACCCCCCAAATACATCCCGGAACCTTCCAACGCGGCTCCTGTTTCCCACCCGGACCCCATGAGGAACTATGGGCAAGTCCTTCGTTGAGGTTAGAGGGGTTGATGCCACTTCCGGTTTGTTTCCGCCCTCTCTGAGATCCACCTCCGCTGTCTCCCCCGCCTTTTGGAGCGTTAATCCCATTTTCACCCCACCCCCCCGCTTTAAATCCTGCGGGACCCACCACACCCCGGAACCCTCCCCCTCGTGTTTCCCACCCGGACCATAGAGAGCGTGGCACCCAACTGTGGGCAAGTCGTCTATGGCTATAGTCCTGACGCCATATCCGGTCCACTTCCGCCCTGCCT